GTGGTCCTCTAACATCTTGTCCAATTTATGGGCTCCCTTTTCACTTTCGCAGTCCTCCTTGGCGTCCTGCAACATCTGACCAAGATCATCCGCAACGTCGTTACCATCAACATCCCTTTTCTCCTCGCCCGTTTGATTTCCTTCAAATCCAACGTACTGAGCAAAGTCCGGAATATTGTCGTCTTCCACTTCATCTTCTTCCATTTCAACACCGTGCTCTCCATGGGATGTCCAACAATTATAGCTTGGCATGAACCCCTACTCAAACAAGTGGAAATGAATAGTCCTGGATGAAGAATACTCCTTCTGATTCTTACACTTATTGCATGGACAACAAATAAAACCCCTTTGCCTGTTAGCTTCGGCCACTCTCAAAAAATAGTGCACGCCGTCAATAAACTCTTTGGACCGCCGGTCAGCGTACATCCATTGCCGATCCATCTACATGAGTCGAAAAAAAATCATACAAAAATAATTATTCTTACAATAATGACAATCATACAATAATTATAAGATAATTACAAACTGTTTCAACAGTCATACAATAATGACATATCTTTATTCATACAAAAATCATAAAATATTACACCAAATAATTCTTATTTACTATTTCTAAAGTTTTAAACTAATTTTAATGTGTTTTACATCTTTTAATTTTCATTTTAGTTTGTTTTCTAGTATTCAAGATTAACTTTGACTATAGTTTTCCTTGTCAACTATTTTATAAAACCTTCTTTAGCAAATCAACTAAATTTCTATATATTCTTTCTTCCCTACACAAATTTTCTACCTCATCAACTTACAACTAAATTTTGGAGACAAAAAAGTGTGCAAAACATAGCTGCAAATGTAATATGACAAAAAAAACATTGGAGGATGAAGTTGCAAACCTTTTAGGCACCTCCGATTTGTATGACCTCCCCTCTTTTTTGAAGAAATTTTGAAGCTTGCTCGGGCAGCTGGAGGAGGAAGAAGACATATATATAGGGGTGGGAATTTAGTCACCAACCGGGGCTAAAGATCCCCGAGATCTTTAGTCCCGGTTGGTAAAGTTACGATCTTTAGTCCCGGTTGGTGTTACCAACCGGGACTAAAGATCCTGGGGGGCCTGACAGGCCCTGACAGCATTTGAACCGGGACTAAAGATGATGATCTTTAGTCCTGGTTGGTGTTACCAACCGGGACTAAAGATCAAATATGCCCGTTACCCTTTTTAACCGGGACTAAAGATCATCTTTAGCCCCGGTTTTTATTGCATCCGGGACTATTGTGAAATTCGGCCGACCGACGAAAGATGGTTTCTCCACCAGTGAATTATCGCAACAGTACCTGTTTGTCTGCAATGTGTGAGACCTAATCGTGTGATGATCACTCAACCTTTGAACTAATGGAAGTTATCAATGTGACAATGTGGACTGCTAAAAGTTTTAGAGTCTTGGCAAATCTTATTTTATCAAACTCTGTGCTAGAATATTTTTATTCCAATCATTACCACATAAACGAATTTTCTGCACGAGAATCCTATAGGTTACAGACGGACTGTAACTGGTCGTGCCTGTAAAAATAGACCGTTATTTTCGCATAGGAATAAGTTCACTTTGGATCACTCAGGGCCTGTTTAGTTCGCGAAATGAAAATTTTTGGGTGTCACATCGGATGTTTGACTGGATGTTGGAAGGGGTTTACTGTAGCACTTATGGCTAATCATGGACTAATTAGGCTCAAAAGATTCGTCTCGCGATTTCCTCCTTAATTGTGCAATTATTTTTCTTTTAATCTATATTTAATGCTCCATGCATGCGTCCAAAGATTCGATGTGATGTTTTTGGAAAAAAACTTTTGAGGAACTAAACGGGGCCTTAATTTATCACCGAGTTCAAAATTTATCCCTTGACCATAAAACCGGATACAATGCATCCTGCAACTTACAAAACCGTGCAAACGAGGTCCTTCGGCAGTATTATCCCCCGGTTTTGGCTTACGTGGAACCTACGTAGCTCCTTTGACTAAGTCTTCGGCCCCTGTGGCATTGATGTGGCACTTACGTGATAATTTGATCTAGAAAAAATAATAAAACCCTATGAAACCAACATGTCAATTTCACACACAAAATAATAAAAAACGGTAGGGCCCATGTAGCCCCACATCATCGTCACAACACTCCTCTCACATGGAGCAGTAGCAGCTGGAGAGCAGGGCGGGCGGAGTGCAGCGGCCAGAGCATGCCGGCAGAGGCAAGCCGCGGGCGGCGGAGGAAGAGGTTGCCGGCGAGCGCTGCAACGGTTGACGACGACCATCCGCTCCACTGCGCCCGCAGCCTTTACGTGGATGCACTCCGTGGCGGCGTCACGCGGGTTAGAGGGGAGCGCTGTGAGGAGGGAGGGATGAGGCCCACGAGGAGGTGGAGGGCCACGGGCGGAGCAGCAACGGGCCGCAGCGGATCCTCTCCTCCCGCTAGCAGGCGCCCAGGGCCGCTCGGGCCGCCGACGTGACTCCTCACCCGCGCGCTGCTCTAGCCACTGCTCGCGACTCCTCTCCCGCCAATTGCCGCTCGCGTGTCCTCTGTCGCCCGCGGCTCCTCTCCTCTAGCCAACCGGAGCCCACACGTTGCTCCTCTCTCGTCGGCTGCCGCTCGCATCTCCTCTCCCACCCCTGCGAGGCGGACGACCCCAGCGACGTCCTTCTCATCCGCCCGCCCCACTCCACTTGCGGCCCATCGCCACTCCGCCCCTCTGCTCCGCCCATGACCCACCGCCGCTCCTCTTCTCCCCCGCCGCCGCACGCCACTCCTTTCCCCCGCCGTCCACCGGGGCGAGGCAGTTGAAGGAAGGGAGTCCGGCGAGACCGGCGAGGAGATGACTGCTCCGGCACCGCCCCTCCGCCCGCTGCCGCCCCTCTGCACTGGCCACATATAGAGAGGAGGGAGTGGTGGGATGACATGTGGGGCCATATGGCCTCACCATTTTTTGTTGTTTAACTAACATGTGGCTCCCACGGGTGTTATTATTTTTCGGGATCGAATTGCCACGAAAGCGCCACGTCAATGCCACGTGGGCCGAAGACCTAGTCAAAGAAGCCACATACGCGCCACGTAGGTGTCACATCAGCTAAAACCGGGGTTAGTACTGCCGAGGGACCTCATTTGCATGGTTTTATAAGTTGGGGGATCTGACATATCCGGTTTTCAGAACTGAGCACGAAAATCATACTGTACTACAAATTGAGGGACCTAGAGTGAACTTATTCCTTTCGCATATGGCTCTTTAATATGCCCGCATGCAAAAATCTATTTTCCCTTTCGCATATTTCGCATATGGTTCTTTAAGATGCCCGCATGCAAAAATCTATTTTCGCATGTAGCCATCTTACCGGGCCACATACAAAAATGAGTCTATTTTCACATTTGGACCTCTTAACCGGTCCGCATGCAAAAATACCCCCTCGCATCCACGGATTTTTTTCTCTCATCCTCTCCCTTTTCCCTCCCAACACTTCAAATTTGACCATCCTAATCTCCTCTCCCTCTTTCCCTCACCTCCTCTCCTCATATTATTTTCCTCTCATCTCCTCTCTCTCTCTTCCTCTCCTCCGAGTGGGAGTAGGCGGCGGCCAGCTCAGGGACCTCAACGGTGCAACCGCCGACGACAACAATGACGACGAGGCCTCCCAATCGGCCGCTGCCGGCCCCGTGACGGCCAGATCCGCGCCGCTGCCACCATAGAGGAGCTAGGGTTCTGATTTTTTATTTTTTGAGATTTTTATTAATTTATTATTTTTATTTTTGTGTGTGGACAACATAAGCAACCGCATGCGGAAATCGGATTTTTGCGTGGATGTGCCACCCACGAAATTTTTTTATTTTTTAGACTTCTTTATTTTTTAATTTTCACACCTTTCCCAAAAGTATTTCTAAATCTGAACTTTTTGGCCACGCCAGCCCGCCTGTTGTGGCCAAATAACTTTGTCACGCCACACGCAGCTAGCGTGGCAGTGCTGTCCTTCCACGCCAGTCTCGTGCCACGCCATTGGTGCTGGTGTTCGGTTTTCAAAAATACTTTTGGGAAAGATCTATTACTAAAATTAAAAAAAATAAAAAAAGTCTAAAAATAAAAAAAAATTGTCAACCGCATGGAAAAATCGCTATTTTCACAGACCTTTCCGGGCAAACGACGATCCAACCACATGGAGAAATAGGTTTTGGCCCCATGGAAAAATGAGTTTTCTAGTGGTGCATCTTATAAAAATAACATTCAAAATATAATTTACTGTGTATCCGCTAACAAGCACGGTGGTTGTCCTCTCGGCTCCCGGTATCGCCGGCTGATGCATCCGCCTATGGAACACAAACATGTACACGATTGAATATTATGTATGGATCAATGCACATGATCGGCCTATCCAAGGGCATCCGGATGATCACGGTAAGAAAAGCGCGCATACGGCACCACCATGCATGCATGCAGGGGCAGAGCCCAATGGGTCGGGATGGGTTGCCCAAGAACCGGCCCAAAATTCTAAATAACTTGTTACTCCCATATCTCCAACACATAGGCACCTCCCCCAACCCAAACCGAGGAAGTCCCCTCCAAGTCTCTGGTCCAAAACTACAGCTCTACAACGCCCAACAGATAGGAGGATTTGAGAAGTCGCTTATGTTTCCTGAGCCAGGTGCGCGCGACAGGAAGGGGGAAGGGCGGTGACCAGGAATCAAGGCGCTAGGGGCGGCACCGTTTCAATGCTTCCTCCTCCAAAAATCAAACGTGCGACTCTCATCTCTCGGTCTATCGCGGTGTCTCCCGTCTGCACCTCTGCCTATGGTCTGCCTGCCCACTGTTGTGCACCCTACCTGCCCATCCAGAGCCTGACGCCAGCCCTAGCTGGCTGGCCGCCCGCCGCCCAACGCCTGAAGGTGCGCCCGTGCCTAGTGGCCCCAACGCCGGCTGGTATCGTCTCCAAATACAATCGGTAAGTCACTAAGTCTTGCACGGTTGTGTCCCTACTGCTCCCCTCTTTCAATTTTGCTAGTCTACCCATGATTATGTTATTTCTTTGTTGCTTGCAGTCAACGAAGGGGGTACCAGAGTATGGAGTAGGATGGCTGCTGGCTGCAAGTGCTTTGTGAATTGTGATTCTATCAAAAATCATAACAGTTAGCCAACACTTAGAGCACGTGAGCGTTTTCCCTCAACACTCATATTTAACTTGTAGTTTTGTTACACCAATATAAAGCTTGAAAATTTTTATTGTCTCTAATAGGTTTCTATGGAGAAATTTCTTAAGCGGAAAGCACCAGATTGTACAAGCAATGTGGGGAGTTCATATCCCTTCGACTAGATGATGCCAGTTGGGAAAAGACGATCGAATATGATCCAGGCTCAAGGAAAGGAATTGATGATTATCATCCCAACCAAAGAGCCAAGGTGAGAAGAAAGTACTCAGAGAATGGGCCTTGCCAACCTGGTGATCATGCTTTTCCCATATCAGTTATTTCTAACAAAGATAGAAAATTCAATCCGGCATGGTTTGATGAGTTTGGTGGATGGCTTGAGTACAACAAGTCCAAAGATAGAGCATATTATTTCTTTTGCTTCTTGTTTAGGGACCGGAATAAAAAGATAGAGCATATTATTTCTTTTGCTTCTTGTTTAGGGACCGGAATAAAAAGGAGGAAGGATACAAAGCATTTGTTAACGTTGGTTGGAATGGCTATTATAGAAAGGATAGGCTAAGAGAGCATGTAGGTGGAGTTGGTAGCTTGCACAATCAACCAGCATTGTTAGGAACTTATGATGTTTGCTGGTTGGTCTCTTACGACAAAAAAAAATATTCGTCACAATACATCGTTGGACTAGTTTATGACTATCTGTATTTGGTCTAGTGACAAGCACCTTATTTTCATCAGTAATCAGCACCACCCCTATTGAACATCATAAACCGAAATGGCATAGTGACGAATAGCTCTAATGTCATAAGAAATTCGTCACAAAAGGTCGTAGCCTCTCAGATTCCGACCATTGATTTTATATTTCACGTTTTTTTTTGTGTTATCCAGAGTTCATGGAACTAGCAACTAGGTGGCTTTGGTTGTAGCCTCGATGAAGAATGGAGAAAAAGGTGAAGGGTGCTTAGTATTTATCTCCGAAACAACAATGCAAGGGTGCGTTGAACAATTAGTAGTTATGTGAGCAGTCCAACAACCATCCTTGCACAGTAAGTTGCAGGGGCAAAGTTACTGTTGTTACGTATATGTACTAGTATGTAACTTAGAATATATCGAAGCTAGCATATGCCATTCCCACTAAAATTACTGGAGAAAACTCAGTCCCCTTAGTAGGGCCTTCTAGCAAGTTTAACCAATATAGCCAACTGCTAGCTCTAAGCACTGCTATAGAAATAATCATAGGTCTTGGTTTGTGACGGACCATCAATGCCGAATATGATGCTGCGCCGGTACCAAATTAGCGGCACTAAGTCCAGCAGCAATGATGGACTGGGAACCGACACTCATAGCTTTACACTAGCCAGAACAAAAGGGGATGCCGCTCAATGAATCAGCTCGATTCAAGCTGATTGCTTTCAAACCCCCTACCCCCACCGTCACCCTCCAATGAGATAGTCAAGAACACCGACAACCTAACACATCAGAATCAACATCCACGTAGATCAAGAACACCCACACAATCAAGGAAAAATCCATAGGTTGAGAATATCCACTGAACATATATGAAATACATGCACCGAAAAATGAAGCAACTATACAACTAGCATTTTTTATGCTGCGGAAAATGAAGTATGGGGGCCAATGTCCTCCTGAAGTTTGGACAAAAAGACCCGATTGGGTAGCCGCACTCCACCATATCTCAAGTCGGTGACCTCAAGAAGGTGATGATGGCATCGTAGATCTGGAACACTCCATCCTGACCACTCCGCTCGTTTGCATCTCATCACCGACTTGAGCATGTCACCCATTGCTATAGTGTCATCCCTAGCTCCTTAACGTAGAATGTCATGACCTATAACAAAATAACTACATGTGGTACCATAGTGAGGGTGTAGCCGCATGGGTGGCAGTAGTGGATGGGAAGGGGGTCAAATCATAGGCATGTTGTATAGTTAACCAATACGCTATAGGGAGCGCTACGGCTCGAATGTCTGATATTTGCCAAATATCGAATGGTGTTTCGTCATGTGTAAATAAATGTTTCAGATGTTTCATTACTTGTTACAAATATTTTAACAAAAATTATCTCAGATATTCATCACTTGTTGAGAAATATTTCCTCACTAGGCAGGAAATGTTTAGATGTTTCATTACTTATTAAAAAACTATTTTAACAAAAATTATTTCAGATATTCATTACTTGTTGAAAAATATTTCATCAATAGGTAGAAAATATTTCATGATCTTAGATAGTAGGGTATAATGGCATCATAGGTTGTTATTTTGTTTTGAGACAATAGAAGAAATTTACATGCTTGGATTTTTTTTAAAAAAAATATCGAAAAGAAACAAAAGAAATAGAATGGATATACATGATGCCGGGATGAACTGAAAAAAATTAATAGAATGAGGGAACAAGAAATACCATTAGCAATTCCTATGCCCAGATCGTTGATACAGACCAGGATGAAAGTGGGGAAAATATTTTTATCCCTCGAAGAGATGTCCCCTTGTTTGCTTAAAACCATTTAAATGGTTATGAAAAATTCTAGAAAATTTTGGCAACACTTATAAAATAGATCTATCTATCTTGAGTCCAAACTCAACTCACACAAATCGAGATATAAAAAAAGACAAATTCGGCGTATGAATAGTAGTGTATTTTGTTTATATCTGAATTTGTCTTTTTTGTTTCTCGATGTGTAGATCGAATTTGAACTTTGATTTTTGTGGCCTAGAAGATATTACGATACTCTACATTGTTATTTTTTTTCAAAATTTTTCATGACTATTCACATCGAATATAAAAGAAAAATTTGCACGAGGGGACATCCCCTCGAGGGATTAGAATCCACTCCCATGTGTACGGGGGTACCAAGGACATCAGCTTGGATGGAAATGGTGCCATATGGCTGATACCTACATAACCCTCTACTACTGGAGCCTTGTCCATTACCCCCTCCGTTGCATATTCATATTTTTTAAAAACTTTATCAAACTTAAAAGAAGTTTGATTGAAAAATCAAAACGACTTATAAAATGAAACGGAGGAAGTATCATCTTGGAATTCTGCCTGCATTAGTTTATGCCCCTCTCCAGTACCTCAATTCTTGAATGCGCCACCCTTGCATGTCTGCCATCGTTTACTGATGGGGTTCAATGATCGAGCCGAAAAGAAAGTAGGGCGGCAATTCCCGGTGCCTCCCTCTCCTACCTCATGACCTCTTAGAGTTCCTGCGACAAACTAATATCTGACTTTTATTTTCTGTTGCTGTCTCTCCTAGAATTCGAATTCGTGCAACAAGATGGTTTCAATTTTGGTTCATATCAGGTTCATCAAGCATCGATGAACAAGAAAGTTCTGCAAAACTCATATTTATCGCCAAAGCAACCAAACAAGGGTGCATTTTGACAACAAGCAATGCCATGTGAGCGGTCCGCCAACCATATATTTCGTCGAGTTAGTTGCAGACATAAAGTCGATCGATAGGATGTAAGCTAGCACATGTATACGTGTAGAGAAATTTGGCTCCAGGCCTCCAAAATCCTGTTCATAGAATACATGTTATGTGACAAAAGAAAAAATTAGATTGAACTAGTCAACCTGTGTGTTGCACAGGCTATTACTATTATTAGTATCATAATATTTAGATTCTAAACATATATCGTTGTGTCAACTACAACACAGTAATTATTAATTTAGGCCTATCTCAAACTTTGTAAAATTATAATGGCATGGTTCCAATTTACCCTACATGTTATGTGACAAAAGAGAATATTAGATTGAACTAGTCGTTAACCTGTGTCTTGCACAGGCTATTACTATTATTAGTAATTATTATTAGTATCATAATATTTAGATTGTAAACATATATCGCTGTGTCAACTACAACACTGTAATTATTAATTTTTAAATATAGGAACTAAATTAAGAGTAAGATTTATACAATTTCATATTTATTAATTTTGGATTTAAGAATTATTAAATTTTAGGACATCTAAAACTAAACTGTAGTAGAAACTAAAGAATCTGTGGTATTTTCAATAGCCTATTTGATTTAGGGCCCCTTTGATTTCTAGGAAAAGTGTAGAAACTTTGTAGGATTTTAATCCTATAAAAATAATTCCTATGGGAGCCTTCGAAGTAAATGATTGAATCATATCATATGCTTTAAAATTCCTATGGAATGGATAATCCCATAGAGATTTTGGAGAAAGTTAGCAAGAGGTCCAACCTCATTGAAAAATTCCTTTGAGTCTATCTCTCTCATCCGATTTCTACGTTTTTCATATGGGCTAATCAAATAGTCATCCCTATGTTTTTTTCTGTATTTTTCAATCCTCTGTTTTACACATGCATTCATGTTAGAATCACGTGTTTTTCCTATTCCTCTATTTTTCCATTCATGCGATTCAAAGGGGCCCTTAAGAAAGATTCATAATGCGATCTATGTTTGTGCTTATTGATCCAACTAACCGGCGGCAAGGTTTTTAATTAACATGGAATTCCCGGGAATGCTCAATAATTAGTACATGCACAATTGATCCAATATGTTGCTTAAATATTAGATATTAGAGCAAGTGCTATGGGCATCTAAACACAAACCTCAAGATGACAAATATGACTAAATGGTAAGGTGGAGGAGAGAAGAATGGAGAGACAGAAAGAGCCACCCCTCATGCAAGGGGTAACCCATACACAAACTCCAATAAAAATGTGAGAGTGTTAGAGTTATTGGAGATTGTGTGTTAGAGACAATCTAATACATGTTAGCTCTAAATTTATTAGTATATGGTATGCATGAAATTACAAGTAGTATCCACCTCTACCAGAAAACATACTCTTATTAAGGACAACTACATTCGGATGCCTAGGGGTGGTAATTTCTCCATTGGGACCGGGGAACCGTCAATATGGGGTTAGGAATGGGGGAGAATTTCACCATGTGGGAGACCCGTCGGGGCCTTGGGGTGGTAGTTACCTCCCTAAAAATAGTACATTACAATAATATAGGCCCAACTAGCCCATTGAGTTAAGTAAGCAGATCATGTATATAGTAAACCCAGATTCCCTAATCTCCCACACCCTATCCCAGGCGCACAGCGGCCGTTCATGGCAAAGACGGCGGCTATTGTTGCTCCTCTGCGCCGTAAAGCCACTCATCACCACTTAGCGCCATCTCATCGCTCGTCATCGCGATGTCTCCTTGCCACTCATTGCATCGCCTTCATCACAAAGTATATACTACTCATAGAACATATATTCAATAAAGAAATACATAGACTATGAGCATAATCAAATAAGTAAGATAATTCATTTAATTCAACTATAGTCTTACAAGAAGAGTATAGTACTAAAGACATACCCGACTCTCAGAGAAAACTATAGCGCCAAAACTCATATGCTTTATTTCTACTAAAATATAGAGAATACAATATGAAATAGAGAGAATTTCTCCTTGAGGTGTGCGCTGAAAGTGAGGAAGTGAGCTTTTAAATAGGCAGCTTATGAAGGTTCAATGGTGATTAAGCATCCACAACTGTTATTAGGAGCCAATGGGTGGAGATGAGGCACCGCAATGTCAGTTCAGCCGAACCCTTGGCACCGCCTCTCTTCACCGCCAGGTGGGGCACTTAGTCGGTTCCCGGCCGGGTGGTTGGCCCCACTTTGAATCGGTTTGAGCTAACTTGTGGGCCCCTCAATCCGTGTACTCGCACGTGATTCGCCGAAAGTGTATTTCTTTGCATGTCAGCTTCATTTCTCCAACACTTTGATGTATAATCTATGCATCCATGTTAATTCTCCAAGTCTAATACAACTACATTTATTATTGTTATACGTGTAAGAAATGCTAATTTTCTTTTTATTCATTGTGCTAGTTGGCGGTCGAAATTGGTACTTAACAACCGTTAATAGGAGCCGGGGCAGAATGCGGGTAGCGGGTAGCAGGTAGTAGTAGGGATAGCAATTTCCCCTACGGGGACCCGCCCCTACGGGGACGAAGACGGGTGCCATTTCTGCCCCGCGGAGAGTCGGGGCCAGGGCCCCGCATTTGGGCGGGTGAGGGGCCGGGGGAGACATTCAACCCGCGGGTGCCCCGTGGCCCATGGGGCCCAGGGGTATATTACCCCTCAAAATATAGCCCATTATAGGCCCAAGAAGCCCATCTAAACATAGTGGGAATCTGAGGTATATAATAAAGCAGAAAAACCTACCCTACCTTATCCTCCCCCGAGTGACCGAGCCCCCATGCCGCTCTCTCTCGCCGCTTCGGATCTCGTCTCTCTCTCACCGCTCTCCACTTCTCGCCGTCGTCCTCTCCCCTCATGTTTCCCTGTCCCCTCTCCCCTCTGGTCGCACAGCCCTCTGCCTCTGGTCTCAACGCGGCGGGGATGCGCATGGGTGACGTGCAGCACGGCGAGTGGGCGGTGCAAAGGCGCAGCGACGGCGCACAGTCGCAGTTGCGGCGCGCAGATAAAGCGAGCGGGCGACTCGCAGGGACAACGAGCAGAGCGGCACGGGCGAGACGGTGACTTTAGTATGGTGGTTGAATTGTTGTGAGACTATGATTTTATTATCTTGGTGAATTGCTGTAGTTGAATGAGTTGATGTGTGAAAGTATTTTTGGTCATCCATGCATTTAGTTCATGGATGGAATGATGGATCATGGAAATATGTATGTGTGAAAGTATTTGCGATCATGGAAAGTTTTTTTTTTCGTGCTGATCGGATGGAGTGGCTACCCAATACGGGGACCCGGTTGGGTTGCGGGGCCCTCAGCTAATTTGGCCCCGCATCTCCACTCGGGGCCAGGGCCAGGTGCAGAGGTTCGGGGGCAGGGCCGTTGTAGCCCAACCCGCCCCGTTCCCATCCCTAGGTAGCAGGGGGGGACATTCATGTCCCAACCTGGGCCCGCCCCTCCCTGTTGCCACCCCTACGTATGCCACTCATCATTTATAAGGAACTGCCTATCCATTTGTCGAGTGATTTTTAACAAAAAAAAATCACCCAGATTTTTTATACCTTTAGATTTACATCCAACAGACTACAAAAGAAAATGACAAATACATATTTACTTACACATTATTTTTATCAAAGTTACAGTGCACTTACATGTCATATCAATTGAATTTACAAATATAATTTTAGTTATATAGGACTATAATTTTATATTTTAAAGAAAATAACGAATACATATTTATTTACATAACATTTTTATCAAAGTTACAATATACTTACATGTCATATCAACTGAATTTATAAATATAATTTTAGTTATATAGGACTGTAACTTTATATTTTAAAGGAACATAGTACAATTATATAGTAATTACATTGCAACTTACATATAACTACAAATTATACTATAACTTGCAACTTTTAAAACACTGTTGCGAAATATACATCATGGGAGATCTCTCACCCGTGTTAAAGTAGTATTATCGTTCAATCACTTTCGTTCTATACAGTGGCAAAGCTAAAAACGATCAGTGCCTTGCCCTAATCAGGTGCTAATCGGTAGGTTGAAAAATGTCAAATTCTAAGTAAAAAATTTGACGACAGATTTATAGCAAAACTGCATTTATAATATTTGCATGTAAAATTTTCTACTTATAGTGAATATTTTAATTGGCTTAAAAATCTCTTCACTGTATGGTAGTATATTACAAGTTGTGTACATGACGTAATTACACGTCTACTTGTGTAATTAAGAGTAATGTAATTACACGTCTACTTGTGTAATTAAGAGTAATTAAAGAAAAATTCTCTTAACAAGATTCCGATTATTTATATAGTGCTTATGATCATGGCGCGAGCAGTAGTCGACAATGGAATCATGGAAGGATGTAGCGATGTGGTATAGAGATGAGCTCGACGTTGCGTGGTAGCAGCCATCCATCATCTAGCAAGGACGAAAAAAATGCAAAAAAACATTCTTGTTCTTGTCAATAGAGATGACGAGCAAAAGAAAAATAGCAATCAACCTCCATCACCGGCGGACTCCACACTATCCTCTGCGGCTAGCCACATGGAGCACAATGTGCAAATGTAGGACCTGCGCAGCCCATCAATTGAGATCAGGTAATATTGGAGATTACATGTTAATTTGATTTGCAAAAAAAAAAATGGGGCTTTATGTATGAAGTTGAAGGAGAGTATACATATGCAAATCAGAGTGTCATTTCCTTACTTGCTTGTTCTATCAATATCGCCGACGTGGAGCAGTCGCTGGTTGTTGCTATTGGCTCAGGTGAACACCTCCTTGCTGGTTAAGGTGATTCCCAGCGTCTGGCAGCGAGGCCCGAAGAAGTGTCTTCGCCTCAACCGCCACCAGCCACCGCCATCAACCACCACGGTGTCGTCGTCCTCCTCCATGGTGTGTCGCCGATCTGTGGGAGGGATGGTGGATCGATTCAGATCCAAAAAAAAGGGAAAAAATGAGGTGGGGGCAAGAGTGGTTGGTTCGGTATGGGAAAAATAGAATATATACCGGACACAGAGAAGTCGTTGAAAGAACCTTGATGTTGCCTAGGGGGGAGGTGAATAGGCGTTCCTAAAATTTATCACAACTTCATAGAATATTAGAATGAAGAGAACTTTCGATTCAAATCGGAACTTCCGGTATGGGATTGGAAGTTCCGGTCTCAGCAAAAAGGATGTTTGATTTCATCCGTATTTGTCGTGTCATAATCGCTGTCATTGTCTGATCTGACTGATCCTTTT